ATGTGATATAACATTCTTAAAAATATTAATTATCTCATTCTGCATCTGCATTAAGTACAGTCCTATGTACTTTCTGTTAATGAAATCAATCATTTGTTTCTTTTTATTTGAGTCACTTTTGTAAATTTCACGATATAAAGCTAAGTATTGTAGAAGCTCCTTTTAGAATATGCTCTTTTCAGTCGAGGAATCTCTATCCGTAAAATAAGATTTCAATTACGCAGTTAAAAGTATGCCTTATCGTTTGTGGTTAGAATTTGTTTAAGAATAAGAACTATACTATGTATAGTTCAACTACTTACGTACTAAAATGCCCTGCAATGTTGCGTAGTTTGTGGACAAAACCCTGTTACATATGTGTTGTGTTGTACGAGTGCTGAGCTGTGTCGATGTCGAAGTGTAAAGGTACCGTGTCACGCGAGTGTTATCTTTATTTACGACAATGATTAAAAATTTGCTTATAAAAGATTAAGAAACGTTTTGTTCCACGAGAACAGATTTTGTCGAAATTGAAAATACACATAGCGCTAGCTTAGTACGATCAGATTGACATTAAACTGAGCCTAGAAACATCAATTTCTCTTTTCAAGAAACTCAAAGTTCGATTCGAAACGAACGAAACAGTAGCATGGCCTCACTCTCGCGTTTTCTATTGGTCCACATACGTGACTATCAAGAAGCTAACGTGAAATAATCTTTCTAGGGATATTAATTACTAGGAAGATACCAATCTAAACATTGCCCATAGAAAAGGATACAGAATCATTCGCGATAATTTGAACGAGTAATCCGCTTCACGCATACCAACAACTCCATCTTCTCCGATTTATCTTCTGTACGTACGCGCGCACGAAGCATCTGTATAGGTGGTGTATGGCGGTACATACAGGTACATGCAGGTAGCGTATATCGGAGTGGCACGTCGGGCCCTCTGACAGCCGATGGAGAGGGTAACTGGGGACCCCATAGAGTGGCGAGTAGCTGAGCTGTGAGTAGTGTTAACGGCCTTGCTTTATGTGGGTCATGAAACAAGGTCCCACCAGCACGGGGAGCACGGGAGAACACAACGCTCGACTCGACTCTCAGGGCTCGCTCGATACCTCTGTAGAGGCACGAGCGCGCGGCTACGTGTGCCAGCGCTACATAATATTGTGCGATTTGATGGAAACAAAAAAGCGAATACCACGCGAGAGGCCGTTCTACTCTTTTTTCTATCTACCCCAACCGATAAGCATGTACATATGTATTCTGCTCTCTTTCCTTTCTTTTTTCTGCGAAATCTTTGACGCTGAATATTTTGCATAAGGTACAAAGTGTGTCGGGAAAGTAGTGAGTAATCTACTTTCGATGTAAGTTTCGATTTGTCAACCTGAGTACACACGCTTGTGTAATCATTTCCCTAAATGCACGTA